AATTTCAATATGATTGACTTGTGTGTAAAAGCCTTCCTTTTTACCTGCAACCGGACCAACGCAAACTTGAGGCACACTTAAGAGAGTATCAGGACACCTGGGGCGAAGAGGAGAGGGGTGAGTGGAAGGCTGCTGGAAAGAGACGGAAAGACGCAGGATACAGTAAGCAAGGATTTGTGAGCCTGACCTTGTCCCCTTCCGCACATTCCACTTATCAAAAGACAAAGCTTTACTTAGATGATTCTGACCACGGTTTGAGTGTTGGAAATTGTGTCAAATAACTCTAAAAATAACATATTCAGAAGAAACAATGTATATTCAAATCCAATCCAAAATGTGAATCACGTGGTCTTAGATTTCTATCATGGCTAAAGTCTCTTCTATTATTCGATAGATTCTCCCCAACATATTTTATAGTATAATATTATAGCATAGTAGATTAACCTTGAGGCGTTAAAGCACCTGTTTCATGAAAATTCTCCTCATTTGCTATTGACGAACTCATTGGTGGTCCTGAAGAGAGGAGCATATTGCCTTCTCCGAATAAATGTCTGCTTCAAGCTTAAAGCTAATTTTAAAGCAACGAGGCACCTAATCATTAAAATGAAGGGGTTAAATTTCTAATGAAACTGTGCTGCTACTGTGTCGGAGGGTATTTAAAAAATACATGGTTTAATCAGATGATTTGATAAAGTAAATTGGCCACCGCAGACTTTCTTGAGCTTTAGAAATTACCCAATTATTTGATTCTTCGCATTACTCTTTGCATTTGGTTTATAAACAACACGAATAAGTGAAAAAATCGAATCTTGTCTTGTCTTTTTTTCCACTAGCATTTCATGAAAACTTATTGAAAAACCTCCTCAATAATCCGGGATACACACATTTTTTGTTCAGATGTGTTGGATTACAAATATTTTGTTTATACGCGGAGGTGTTGGACACCAAACAAAAGTTGTTCTCCTTTGATAAAAAGGTGTCAACAATCACTAGTCTATTTACTCATTCACAATTGTCAGTTGACATAATACTTCATAATTAGCCAATCAGACGCGTTCTAGCTTCTGTGGGTGCGAGTGATTATATTTCATATTTAATCGATCCGAGTTAATCATCAGATTTTGTAGAAGGAAACGTTGGAGTCGAAGGAAACAGAAAGATATTGGTGAGTACGGTCCATTCTTTCATCTACAATAGCTTCCCTAGCTGTTCATCAAAATAAGGGAGAACATTGTTTACGCCTTTTTTCCATTTGGTTTATAGCAAACTGAGTTAAACAATGTCTGTAGCTGAAAGAAATTAGTTTAAAAGAGGCTTTAAAATTATGTGGAATCTTCAATCTCCTGTTTCTCCAGCTTTGTCAAAAAAATGACTTTGCTCTCTGATACGAATCAAGACTCAAATTACATTGGTACAACACAATTTTTTTTAGACATTTATTTTACTAGGAATTCTCATCCCCATTGTGCGGCTTTCTTGGTTCATAATAAGCATGCTAAGTCTAGAAAACATTTCTAAACCTTCCAAAATGATCAGGACTTATATTTTCAGTTCTCTCACTCATGTAAATGGGTAGATGTGATAATTCTAGAATACGTGTATAGCCACGTTTATTTTATAATGAAGATATCATTCCATGTACCAACTCATGACAGTCCTTAACAAAAGCACTTTCCACCTTTAAAAAATAGGAAACTGTGAATTTATTTACTCTTCCAAAGTGCTATATAAATAATAATCAGCTAAAAATCTATGAGGTATGTAGCTGTCGTAATCTATCAACTACACTCTGAGTTTGCTTATTAAGTAGGTTTCGCGACAGTAACCTGTGTGGAGAAAGGTTTGGTGCGTTTGTATAGAATTTTCATGAGGAAAAAAATGCGTTTGCTCTTTGGGGACTCAACCTCAGAACTTCCGAACTCGCGATATGATGCTATACCTCTTACGTTCACAGAACTTTCCGGCGTAGACTCGATCACGAGATCGAAAGTTTGTGATTCGAATTCCGTTCATTTAACCTAAACCTTTTCATCCCTACCACAACCCATGACAATATGTTCGAATTCTTTTTCACCATGACGATCAACTTCATAATATATTTTAGAATGTCAAAAAGTAGCTGAATCTTTCAAAAATTAACACGTGTATCAGTCCTTTCCGTTTCCTTTAATCCAAGTGGAGAAGCATGAGGCGCGCGCGGATGGTGGGGCGATTTTATCTTTTGACTCGCTTTAGCCTTCCAGTGTGCGATTTCTGCCTTTTTGAAAGGAAACGGGAAAATCGCCACGAGGGCTGACGGAAATCGATTCGTTATGGCTATTGTACCTTAGAATTTTTACAATTTTCAATTCTGTCTATTCATTATCCTGATAGACATGATGACCTCAGCTGTGATCGGTTGCCTTGTGGCCGTGGCTTTCTTTGCTGTGGTGGATTCCAGGGCTCTTAGCTCACTGGAAATAAACGCAAATCAACAAAACCCAGCCCAGGCTGCACAGCAAGTCAGTGTTCAGAGCCAATCAGATGAAGTGAAACAGGATAAGGCCAGCAAAGGTATAACTTTACTTTCGAATTATTTTCAAGACAGTCAATCTATAAGCTTTCCAGTTAATCAGTTAATTTTGTTTTTGTTTTTTGTTTTTGCTTTTTAGAACAGCCAGGTGTCTACTACCCCGGCTATGGACATTTCGCATACCCCTGGCAATATGGAAATTATCCCTACGGCTACCCCCACTACCCCTACCCATATCAACACCCCCATGTACCCGTCACTGCGCCTGTAGTAGTACACCCAGCTTTACATCCAGCAGTGCACCAGGCCCCCGCTACTGTTCACTATCCATACCCCTACAATTACCCATACCCCTACCACTACCCCTACGGATACAACTACTGGAATTACAACTGCGGATACCCCGGCTGTACGACCCATGTTGAGCCCAAGGAAAACAAACCTGCAGAAGAATCCAAAGAGGGTAATGAAGACAAAGAAGACAAAAAGAGTACCGTCAGTAACTGAATGAATCAAGCTGTTGTTCTTGCTTTTGTAAGAGTTTGTGCTTGAATAAACATGCTATGAAGGTGGAAAAACTGTGGACTCTTGCTGCATGACAGGGGTTAAAATGAACTGAAGAAATGATCTTACGGCTAACTTTTATCCTCACTGTTTTTTTCAAATAAAGACAAAATTAAAACAATCTATATGCCAGTGCATTCTGAACAACAGAGGAAGAGAGCTCATGATTCTAATGATTGTTTCGTCTCAACCATCGGCTGGCTCTTGAATCTTCTTCGAATATTTTTTCTGTTTTTTCGAATTTAAATAAAAAGTATAAGTTTTGCATTTGCTGGGAATGGAACCCCTCCCGCATGGGCAGGTGAAAAGGCTTGGACTGAAACACCAGTGCCTATGTTCTGCACGAAAGATAGCCTTTTTGTAGAATAGTATAAACAGTAAATAGTCCTCCTTCTTCAATTTTCTCCCAGCTAAGCTCTCACTGCAACCATGAACAGGAAACATTTCTACTCTGCATGAAAATTTTGGTCGGTTATTTATCTAAACCAAACCAAGGTTTATTCCAATCAGTGGGCTTCAGGCTTTCTCGATAAGAAGATTTTTTTAATTAAATAAAAGTCCTTCCACTGTTAGCTTTCGGCCCTACTGACACTGTTCACAAAGTAACGTTCAGAGAAAAGGTTCAGCCAAATTGAGGATTTGTTAAATAACGACTAAACTTTGTTTAAATAAAAAGCCCTTAGGGTTTGAGTCTCACAAAAACGGATTACAATTTGTTCACTGCCGCTAGTTTCATCAATATTTAGGCTCCTTCCTTTTGATTGTAGAGAGCTACCGTATCACGCTTTAATGATGTGATGCAAGCTACCATTCTTGCCATCGGCTCTCATTTACAAGCTCAGTTGAAGGCCACACGATATTGGAAACTGATGTTTATTATTTTTTTCAATGTATCAAACAGAAATAATTTCAATACGAGTTTTTGTTCCTCAGGAAGTCAGGGCTGAAAACATGAAATCAAAAATCCAAACCACTGGTCTGTTATTCTGCCCACAGGGCACGTCATCGATCTAAAACTCTCTTCTCCAGATTTCAAACGCTCTATTTACAGCAAGCAGGAGCGCAAGCCGGGGCACAAACTGGCATAGGTGGTGGTGGAGGGGGAGGAATGTACACAGGTGGTGGAGTGCAGCATGGCTGAGGGCAAATCTTCATACAATGATGGATACAGATGGGGGGACAAGGCGGTGGGGGTGGAGCGGGTAGACCGGGGCATCCGGGTGCTCCGGGAGGTCCCATTGGTCCCATTGGTCCCATACATCCTGGACTACCGGGGAATCCACGACATCCGGGAAGTCCGGGTGGTCCCATGCACCCTGGTTGTCCTGGGGGTCCTGGTTGTGGGCACGGCACAGGAACGGGGACGGGACATGGTGGTGGTGGAGGGGGTGGGGGTGGGGCACAACACGTTGGTTCACAAGCTGGAGCACACATGGATGGACATCCATAA